ATCAAGAACTTACTATCACACTTAGACCTTAATGTCAATTGAATAAAATTACTTTACTTTACACTACCTTAAAGTTTTGCTTAATTACTACCATTCGCCCAGATTTAAATAAAAGCTCAATTTAAATATAAACTAATACATTGTATTATTTTAATAGCACGTTATAATACTTTAAATATATTGTAATATTTTCCTTATATTATATTATAATTGCTACATTTGACTACATTGCCATTTTAATTATTTTATTATTATAATTGTTATTATTATTATTATTCTTTATTACCATTCCTATATAATTCAACCCTGCGCATACTTATGCGTATATGAGTTAGTGTATGTGGCACTGTGTTGCAAAATATTCCATGTTTCTATTTTGCTCTATTTTATCTACTTCGTTGCATTTCCTTGTGCCCGACTTACCAGCATTTATTTGTTCATACACGTCATCGTCCACTGCAGCTACCTCCGATTTCTTTTCCCTTCTCTTTTTGCTTTTCTTTTCCTTACTTTTATATTATCCTTTTTTCCCATATAGTTTCCTTTTCCCCTACTATTACTCTTCCTGGATTATATGTTTTTATCTTAATTAATTTATATACCTTACTAAATTATTGTGTTGCCACAATCGTCGTACTGACGAGGTCCAATTGTGGTAACGGTAAGAAATGTATACAACTTAACGGACCGAAACAGTTCCTACCTATAACAAATATTTTTTTTTTAATATCTCTTACCTATCTTATCATCCATTTCTTCTTTCCATCATTTCCTTCTTCTCCTACATTCTCTTTTAACCTTTAATATACACTCAACATTGCAACAATTTTACACGCTTAAATACTCATCACAAAGGGCGGGACAGATCATGGGTCAAACTGCTGCGCATTTCTGGATTACTCCTTGCTTTTCCTGCGCACCACTTATTGCTCGCTCTACAAGGGAGAATGTGGCGGAAGATAATCAGCCCAGTGCCGAGAATATGCTAGTTGGTAGAAAATTGGTGGTGAAAGTGTCCTGTGAGGGAGTGCCGCTGGCGGCATTAATAGATAGCGGAGCCATGGTGTCACTGATAAAACCCAGGGCCCTTCACGCTATCGAGCACGCCACGGGGCAGGGCTTAACCAAGAAGTTGCGGGACACTGGGAATGAAATAGTGAGAAATGCGTCAGGGGGTCGAATGAAATTGCGAGGTAGCATAAAGCTAAGAATAAGATGGGGTCAAGAAGAAAGACCCGTAGAGATGTTTGTAGAAGCAGAGGATGGGATTGGTGAACCGTTGCTATTAGGTACCAACACGCTAGAGAAATCTCGACTATGGAGAGCGCAAATGGTGGGAGCAATGGAAACGCAAGCAAAGCAGTATTATGATGCGCCTAACCACATGCAAGCTAGTCCGTTTCGGATAGGACAACGGGTACTAGTGTATACGTCGACAGAGGTCAGAAAGACCTGGCACACCAAGTTCAGCCATAAATTCGTGGGATCATACCGCATCTTGGCGATGACGGACAATAGTGCAGCTGATAAGGAGAAGAAAACAAGCGTTCAAGGTGCAGTTGAACCACCTGTGGAAAATTTCCAAGGAAATGGTAGAAGGGGAATATCTGCTAGGTGCATCACGGGGGAGAAGGGCTAGTAGAACCTTAAAGTTAGGAAAGAGTCCCAAAAAGAAAACACGGAGAACAAGAGTGCAGAGATATAATTTCAGACCCAGAGCAGTCACTCAAGTGGTATTCGAACGGGGACAATGACCTCGCAGAGCACTGAATGTAGAGGAAACGATCATTGGGAAGAGCGTGAATGTACGGCAGCAGTGTGTCGCAATGGAGTCACACTGGACGCATTTCTACCAGATGCTGTTGTCAAAACTCCGTTCCGAGAAGTGAAGGAGTTGGCAAAAGTGATAACTTTGTGGGATTCCGACGAAAAAGTGAAGATAAAAGAAACACTTTCGCGGAAGGACCCGTACAGTATACCCATATTAGCAGAGAAGAAAGGACGGCGGAAAGCCATTGCAGCTTTGACAAAGAGCTGTCCTCATCGGCAGCAAGCAATGAAAGAAACGCTTGGAATGCTCATGTATTCTGGGTACCGAGGTATGTTCGCGCAGCTTGATTCGTTTGCTGAAGCAAACGAAGAAGTCCGAGCAGAAGTGAACCGACCCAAAGGCGCAGCAAAAGCAAGAGTTCGAACGATGCAGAGGAAACGAGGACGAGATGCCGTGGCCAAAACTACTCAGTAACGAACTCATCCGTATCGTGCAGAGAATCGCAGAGCTCGGGGTCCGAGCTTCAACAGGAGGCGGCATGTAGAGCGAGCAAAAGGTGGCGCGCAGGAGAAGCAAGGAGCAATCCAGAAACGCGCAGCAGTTTGACCCGTGATCTGCCCCGCCCTTTGTGATGAGTATTTAAGCGTGTAAAATTGTAAGATTCAGTGTATATGTTTCGTCTCAACGTTATCGTCGGGTGTGTCCTCCCTGTATCGTCGTGTATCCCCTAGTGTTCAACGTTACCTTCCCGTGCCGTCAGTATTCCGGATCGTCGGCGTTCAAAGTGCCCTACGGTTTGGCGTCCAGAAGTCCAGTGCAGCAGTGTGGTGCTGCAATCCCGTTATTAGCACATTTCGTCCGTAGCGGCTGTCGCTGCAGTCGCCCAACTTAATCCCTTCGCCCCAACGAAACCTTGTTAACTTGCGTTCGTGTCGGTAAAGTTTATTGCCTTACTCCAATCTCTGTTCGCTACGCACCATAGCACGACAGCATTCGTCCAGCTCTCGTCGAATCGTCGTTCCATCGTCGTGCTCCGCGTAACACCTCCGATGATGCTTCCTGAACTTTCCAATATTATAGCCGGAATGGAGCGCTACTGTCAAAGTATCCTTTGGGAAAAACCATACTCGTCATTTTCGGGCGGTGAAATATGCCCGCAGATTACAGTATGCTAAATTTTTATACGTTTTTTGCGTGAAAGATTCTGTGCAACTAAGAAAGCACCGTTGCGGGTTTCAGAATTAGAAACTCAGAAGTTAAAATTTTCAGAACATAATTCGTATGTGTAGGAAGTCACAAGCACAAATCCGTGTTCATTTGCGTATGCTCTGATGCAAATCCTCTGCAATATTGCTGAAACCAGTGAACTAAACATCTGGAGATTTGGGTCATCTACATAAGGCAGAGAAATGCTTGTGATTTTTTTCGACACTACTGTATTTTTACCGCAATCTTACTTTCCGTTTCATCCTATCTATGTCCTGTCAGGTTAGAGTGGGCCAGAAAATTGAAATTTTAGACTTTCGTCTAAGTGGCGTGGGTTTTCCTCCATCAATTTTCAAATCTCATTACTTCTTCGCTAGCTTTATTTCATTTTTACAGAATGATTGAAGTCCGTGATTGAATGTTTTGGATTTAATGTAATCTAAGTTAAATGAAATTATTTCAGAATTTAAACGTCCATGCATTTTCACGCATAAACTCCGTGTCAAAACGAGTTCACTGCTTCAAAAAATAAGTAGATCTGAAATTCCAGTGCTTGTGTGCGAAAAATCATCAAGAAAAAAGTACATCAATTCGTATACGTCCGAATGCTCTGAAGACAGGTAGATCTTGCAGATAATCACATAACCACGCGTGTATCTCGAAACTGGATATCAAATGTTCTAAGAGGTCAGTTATATAAATCAAAGGCGAAAAACTCCCTCAAACGGACTGTTTGTGAACGAACCATCCGGATAGTAACACATATATGCTGCAGTTCCTTAGAGCTAGCCGCTAAAAGGATTTAGCGCTAGGTTTTTTCCCATTCGCTCGCCGTTACTAGGGAAATCGTCACCAGTCTCTTTTCCTCCTCTTGTTTTTATGCAGTGGGTATTCATGACTGAGCGAAGCAGTTGTTTATACGATTCTTCTCGCTCATTAGTGCAAAATAAGCCAAAAAATCAGAACTTTTGATTTCATTTTGTCGCACGAACCAGAGGAGGTCACGTAAAATCACTCTTTAGCATGTCAGAATTATTCGTAAATTAGAATAGAGCAAAATAAAGTTAAAGTAATGAATCGCTTAAACCATGAAACCTGACTTCTAATGCTATTACGCTCCAAATAAGTTGAGGAGAAGGATTTATGGTGATTTGTGCTAGTGATCGTAAAAGGTAAGTGCAAAGCAACAACCATTCATGCAGTTAATGACCTGAGTACTTCAAGTCCGGTGCAAAAACGCATGATCGCACGGGCCCGTCCAGTGCGCTCCAGCCTGGATTTGAAATAGCCAAAATATTCCTTTACTTTTTCCATGACGGAATGTAACAACAAATGATTTGAAACTAGTAGAAGTTGCGTGATTGATGAAAACATGTCAGTAGAGTCGCCAATTTTCCTCGTAATGCAGTGTCCGTGCCACCTGCGGTCAACTTTTTCTGCTGTGAAAGTCAGTGATGCCGAACCACTGCTACGTGCACAGCGAATCTGGAGCACTCGTATCTAGCAGATGTAAAGACTCGCGAAAAGATAAAAAGCCTGCGCCTGGAAGGAATTAGCAGCGTCTACTATTAAATCACAAACCAATTTTCAGATACGGTTTTCCAGCCAGTTTTCGAGCTAGCACAGTTCCAACTGCTGACTTTCACGTGGCTGTATACGGGACGTAGAGACGTGCAAGATCTCTATCTCACACATGGAAAGGGAGCATCAGTAGAAATTTCGGCTTTGTAGGTTGTCTGGTTCAAGAAATCATTTCCCTGCGTCAAAATTTACATACTTCTTTGGCTGAATCTGAAATATTTTTGTCATACACAGGTAGGGAACATTACTTCATGGTCTCAGCTTTCCAGCTTTTCTCGCTCCCGAGTTATCAATTTTCGCGCCAAAACCTTCACGTGCTCATACGCAGGGCCCAGACGTGTTTGAGAGTTGATACTGCAGTCCTGGGGTGGCGCTTGGCTCGGGAACACACTGGCAAAATTTCAGCCTCAAAGCTTGCGTGGTTGGCGAGTTCAAACACCCGGACGGACGAACACACACACACACAAGCATACACACACAGTGACAGGGTCGTTGCAATATGCGTTTTTGCTGCCTGCTGCAGCGCTCTAGCTCTGCGCGGCAAAAACGCATAAAAACGGAAATTGTTTATTTTCTTTTATGCAAAATTTACGATATTGAGAGCACAAGGTAGGTGTAAAGAAACAGCCACTCATGTAGTCAACCTAATTACTTCAAGTTTGGTGCAAAAATGCATGATCGCACAGGCTGTCTGGTGCGTTCCGGCCTGGGTATGACAAACGACCGCTTTGACAATACTTTTATTTTTTTAGTGAACGGGAAATTTGCATTTTTATGCGTTTTTGCTACGTAGCGCTATAGTGCTGCTACAGCCAGCAAAAGCGCATATTGTCGAGAGGCTGTGTGTGTGTATTCGGAAAGCGCGTACATTTTGTCACCCACTTTCATCTCAGCAACCAGGAAAGCTGGGAGGCTGAAACTTCAGGCATATGTTCCTACCCCGCGTATCATCCTCCCGTTTTAAGATCTTTCTCCACACGCGCCTAAACCCCATGCACGGGACCCCCAAAGAAATATGCTGGCGGGGAACGATTTCGCGGAACAGGCAACGTAGAAGGCTGAAACTTTGCAGGGATATTCTCTATGCACTTGCGAGATAAAAATTTTAAACTCAGCTCTCTAGCTCCCAACCACAGCCTCAAGCAGCTCCTGAACCCAAAAATCGTTAGCCTCTACTACACAAACACACGCCACATGCCTTACGGGGATCTGCGTTTTCATGCGCTTTTGCTGCGCAAAGCTACAGTGAGCAAAAAAGAATATTGTCGAGAGGCTCGCAGTGTGCGAGTGTGAAGTTTGTCACCCACTTTAGACTCAACAATCAGGAAAGCTGGGAGGCTGGAATTTTGCGAAAGTGTTTCTAGCGTATATTGTCACCTTTACCCTTTGAAATCATCGTTGGTATACGTCTGAGTCTCAAGTACAAAAGCCAAAAGAAATATGTAAATTTTGAGGCAGGGAAATGATTTCGTGAACCAGACAACCTACAAAGCCGAAATTTCTACTGATGCTCCCTTTCCATGTGTGAGATAGAGATCTTGCACGTCTCTACGTCC